TTTGAACTTTGCATTGGAGACAACGTCGACAGCTGTGATGATTGTACACATGTAGTTGAGGAGAAGATGAGTGCATTTTTCTACATTGTATAACTTGAAATTGATCCAACTTGATACAGTCTTGAAAGTTTCCACACTCTAACAGAAATGTCCTAGTTTGGAAATTATGACAAAAATATGTTTTTCCCACTCATTGTTTGTGGCACTTACATAGTTGTACAGTATTTTGGTGCCATATGAACCAACTCGAACCCTGAGGAGCATAGGGACTGGCCTCCTGCTTGTTTCGAAGAAAGGTAAAGATAAAGAACTTCATCGACAAAATTCTCCAAGCTGTCAGAGATGTTACGCTACTGAGAACTGGGGGATATAGACTTCTGATCAGGGTCAGAAGAGGAGTTTCAAACTTAATTTGTGTTCTATCTTTGAAACATGGCCAAAACATTGTTTTTCTGCCTAGGTGTGTAAACGTTTACCCGCAACTGTATATGAATATAATAAATAGATAGTTTCGGAAAAAATCTCATTCTAACTACAGCAAAATATGAGCTTAATCCGTCAGTGACCGAACAAAAAGTGAAATTTTCTGGACCCAGAGCATAACCAACTACTGTTTTACCATCTACTGTGCTGAATAATCCAGCTGCTGAATTTTCTCATTACAAACCATGTCAAGAGAATGAGAACTTGTTAATCAACACACAAGTAACATTTGTTCTCAGCAAAACAAATCTGATCAAATTCACTTTCACAGTTTTGATTTTGTTGGTGATCAATGCCCGATATCATAATCAGATTGAGGTGTCTTGAACCAATGTTTTTTGATCAGTGGGCTGTGGAACGTTAGTGTGCCATGAGATTCAATCAATTCAATTTTAAATTTCAGACATTAAGGGCTCTTTGTGGTCAGAACCTGTTGATGGCCGCCTGCACTAGTTTTAAAACCGAGGAGACGGATCCAGACTCTTGCTTCTCGCCTTTTGGAGTGAGCTTCCCCAGTCTGTGCGCACAATTGACGATTTTAAGTCCCAACTTTTCACTCATTTGTTTAGGAAGGCTCTCTTGCCTCACCATCCATAGGCTTCTGTGTTAATGATGCTCCTTCTGTATTTTTGTGTCTTTGTATGTTTTTCATTGTAAAGCTTACATACACTTAGATGTTGTTTGGTGTGCCTGTTTTCTTGGAATTTGCGGCTGTTTTAGTTCATGTTCTAGCCAAAAAAGTGTGGGCCCGTAAAAGGGGAAAGCGCGGAGGCCTCCTCGTGCATCTGAGGAGAAGAGGAGCGCGCAAGGCTCTCCCCGGCATTTTTCTCTCCAACGTACGCTCACTGGGCAATAAGATGGACGAACTCAGCCTGCTCATGAGAAGAAACAAGGACTTCGCCACATCCTGTGTCCTCTGCTTCACTGAGACCTGGCTAAATGAGCGGATCCCGGACTGCGCTCTGGAGCTGCAGGGCTTTGGGCTGTTCCGCTCGGATCGCCATTGTGTGCTATCAGGAAAGAGCAGAGGCGGAGGGCTCTGTTTCTACGTGAATACAAACTGGTGTAACGATGTGACAGTGATCTCCAAGCACTGTTCTCCTGCTCTGGAATATCTTTTCATTCATTGTAAACAGTTTTACTCCCCTCGTGAGTTCGTTTTATTCATTCTTGTCTCTGTTTACATACCGCTATGCGCGGACGCGCGCGAGGCTCAGTGTGCACTCGCAGAGCAAGTACTGTGTATGGAGCGTTTATACCCGGACTCTCTGATTATTATCCTGGGGGATTTTAATAAGGGAAACTTGAGCCAGGAATTACCCAAATACAGACAGTTTATCAAATGCCCGACCAGAGAGGAGAACACTCTGGATCACTGTTACACCACTGTGCGCTGAGCTTTTTGTGCTGTTCCCAAAGCAGCCCTCGGCTTCTCAGATCACTCCATGATACATCTGGTTCCTGCTTACAGACAGAGACTAAAGCTCTACAAACCTGCAGTGAGGAGCTCCAAAGTGTGTTCTGATGAGGCTGTGGAAGAGCTGCGCGCATGCATGGAGTCTACAGACTGGGACCTTTTCAGAGCTGCCACAGACAGTTTGGATGACTACACTGACACTGTGACGTCATACATTCACTTCTGCGAGGATAGCATTATTCCAACAAGGACCAGGGTCATCTATAACAACGACAAACCCTGGTTCACTGCTAAACTCCGGCAGCTCAGGAAAGCAAAGGAGTCTGCTTTTTTCCCTTTCAGGGAGGGGGACCGCAGCAGCTACAAAGCAGCTAAATATCAGTTCAGGGATGAACTGAAAGCAGCCAAGTCCCGGCACAAAGAACGACTACAGGAGCAGTTTGGTAACAACGATACTGCTTCTGTCTGGAGGGGCCTACGGGAGATCACCAACTACAAGCCCAAAGCCCCCCCCTGTGCTGACGACCACAAGCTAGCTGACGACCTGAACTTTTTTTTCAGTGGCTTTGATGCTGCCCCTGACACCTCCCCCACCCCCCACTACTCTAACGACCCACCCATCAGCCCTGCCCCCACCCTGACAATAGCCTCTAAAGATATCAAACAACTCTTCTTGAGGCTGCACCCCCGCAAAGCTCCTGGCCCAGACCATGTGTCTCCGGCCACTCTGAGACAGTGAACTTACTCCTGTGTTCACTGACATTTTCAACTCTCTGCAGTCCTGCCATGTCCCGGCCTGCTTCAAATCCTCCATCATTGTCCCCGTCCCAAAGAAGCCCAGGATCACAGGACTCAATGACTACAGACCTGTAGCACTTACGTCTGTCGTCATGAAGTCATTTGAACGCCTGGTCCTCTCCTATCTCAAGTCCTTCACCTCCCCCCTCCTGGACCCCCTGCAGTTCGCCTACAGAGCCAACAGATCTGTAGACGACGCCATTAACCTGGCCCTCCTCCACATTCTACAGCACCTGGACTCCCCGGGGACCTACGCCAGGGTCCTGTTCGTGGACTTCAGATCTGTCTTCAACACAATCCTGCCATCCCTGCGCCAGGAGAAGCTCTCCCAGCTCAATGTGCCCGATTCCACCTGCAGGTGGATCACTGACTTCCTGACAAACAGGAAGCAGCAAGTGCGTCTGGGGAAGAATGTCTCGGACTCTCGGATTATAAATACAGGAGCCCCACAGGGCTGTGTTCTCTCTCCCCTGCTCTTCTCCCTGTACACCAACCACTGCACCTCCAGCCACGACTCCGTGAAGCTGATCAAGTTCGCGGATGACACCACCCTCATTGGACTCATCTCCAACAACGATGAGTCCGCCTACAGGAGGGAGGTGGACCGGCTGGTGTCCTGGTGCAGTGGTAACAACCTGGAGCTGAACGCCTAGAAGACAGTGGAGATGATTGTGGACTTCAGGAAGAGCACTGTCCACCCGCCCCCACCCTCCGTGATGGACTCCCCCATCACCTCTGTGGAGTCCTTCCGTTTCCTGGGCACCACCATCACCCAGGACCTCAAATGGGAGCCGACCATCAGCTCCCTCATCAAGAAGGCCCAGCAGAGGATGTACTTCCTGCGGCAGCTCAGGAAAGCCAAGCTGCCTGCACAGATGTTGGTGCAGTTCTACACGGCCATCATCGAGTCCATCCTCACCTCCTCCATCACCGTGTGGTTCGCTGGAGCCACAGTCAGGGACAAGCAGAGACTACAGCGCATTGTGCGCTCAGCTCGAGGCCGGGCTAGTCGTATCACAGCCGACCCCTCTCACCTTGCACATGGACTATTCCAACCACTCCCCTCAGGCAGGAGGCTGCGGTCCATCAGGACTAGAACCTCCCGCCACAAGAACAGTTTCTTCCCCTCTGCTGTTGGACTCTTGAACACTTCTTAGCCTGTCCCCCCGCCCTTTATAAAGTCACTTTACTGCCCATCATACGTCACTTTACTTCACTGTACTGCTGTCACCTTACATTGTGTGCACCATGTGCACTTGTATATTGTAACTGTAACTCTATTTTAAATTTAAATGTATTCCTTAGAAGTGTTTTTTATTCTTTATTTTTTATTATCTGACTGTTGCACTGAGCCAAAGTAATTTCCAAGTCTGTGACTTCCTGTTACTTACGTGGCAATAAAAATTATTCTGATTCTGATTCTGAAAAGATCCAATATCACCTGCAATGTTGTGCGTGAACGAGTTCAAAAGAACACGTTCATTGAACACGCAAATTTTTTTGTGAACGGGGAACTGAACGCAACACATTTTTTAATAAAGAACTTGAACGTGAATTAGTTCATTTTATGTGTCATGAACGGCAGACATCACTATGAACGTTGGAATTTGTTTTCTCTTTTGAAACGCAACGAGAGAAAGTTCCTCCCTCCAGTATTCTCCGCACTTTTCCGCCGAAAACTAAAACTTCCCACTGTTTCCACCGTCTGTGAACGCACCTCGACTCCGTGTTGCGGTGCGGCGCTGTATGCTAGTACTTTTCATGGCTTGTTGGACTCTCATGTGCCCGAGTCATGATGATAACACAGGGTAAGTTAGACACAACCAACCGTTTACATTTGACATAAAGTTCAGACACACAGACTGCAGCGCAGATGACTGCAGTGGGACAACTCAAGTTTTGCTCCCATTGAAAACCATGTAAATCCTGTCTGTTTTGGAGTCAAAAGCCTCTCATCCTCTGCAGTGTACAAGATTATATATATATATATATATGTATATAACTTTGAACTAGTTCAGAATTAAAATTGTGAACTTTGAACGTGAACTGTTCACTTTGAGCATGTTTGAACTAAACTTGAACTAGTTCAGAAAAGTTGTGAACTGGCACAACACTGATCACCTATTGGTCAAATTGATATGAAAAGATACATATTTTCACATTTTCTAAATAACCCATTGAGAAGGCTTTGTTCACTGCAGTTTTGGGTTTGTCTCAGTGTGTGTGCACCATGGCTCAAAAAGAGTGGGGAACACTGTCCTAAATACCCTTATCTGCGAGGTGCCATTCCATCGGCGCCTACCTGAAAGGCGTGTGGTGTGTCGTCCACACAGTAGACCCTGATGCCGTAGCTCAGGGGACCCTCCAGTGCTCCGAACACAGCCAGCTTCAGCCTCTTGACAGCAGCCTGGCTCAGCGGTTCCCCCACCAGGGCGTACGAGCCCGGTGCGTCCAACAGCACATGGCAGCTGGCGGAGTCCACGAGACAGTAACAGGACGCACACTCCTCGTCCACAGACATCACCTCCTGCAACAAACAAGGAGAAAATGTTCACTTTAATTTTAGATCAGGTGCCACAGTGGGGCCACAGTGAGGAAAGCTGCGGCTGTAAAGTGCCAAACTGTTATTGTGCCCTTAGGCAAGACACCTCAGCCACATTGCCAAGAATGAGACTGGTGTGAATGGGTGGTGGTGGTCAGTCTCTCTTCCGTCAGTTTACCCTGGGCAGCTGTGGCTAGAGTAGTAGTTTATCACTGTGTATGAAGTGAATGAATAATGACATGTAAGCATCTTTGAGTGTCAAAAAAAAGCGCTATACTAAACCATTACGTTATTATAATTATAATTATTACATGCTCTACAAATTCATCTTAGAGGGAACAACTTTGGTGCTTCTAAAAAGTTGACTCTGCTTCAAACTTTGCCAGCTTCGGGGGATTTACATCATAATGAGTTCTGTGAGTATTCAACATGTTCTTTGGGGCTGCAGTCGCATTGTATCCAGTGATGGCATTATTCAGATAAAATTTAAATCAAAATTGGACCTTGTTATCACGTTCACACATCTTTTTTATCTTTCTGTTGCAAAATGCAAAAAAAAAGCTAGAACAGCTTGAGGAAATATTAAAAATGTGAAGGAAAGCTGAATTAACACTGACAAGACACCAGATTAGACCTTACAGTTTGTTTCTTGAAATGTGAGCCTTTTTTTTTTTAACCTGCATATTCATTCATGAAGGGTTCACAAAACAGTGAAACAAGAAATATTATGCATTATTTTAAAAATTATGAATAATTTAGTTTTAGAATGTGAATTACTTTCCTCAGTACAAAGTATATGGTAAAACCAGTATGAAGAATATAAAATGCTTCCCAACTGTAAATCCCTACGCTACCATCAGAGGGGGGTGGGGTATGGGGGGGGCTCTCCAAAAGTCTGAAAATACTGGCTGCAAATTGCTATTGTAAAGGACATAATTTAAGTTGAGAAATTCCCAAACCAAATTATCGGGCAATACTTTTATTTTTTAAAGTAAAAACACTAACTGCTTTAAGTGTGACGTCATCGTTGTACTGTCACATCATACATTTGGACTGAGGTTCTTTGATGTTTGATGTGAGAAGTCAGATGTTGCACATATTTTACCAGTCTGTGGTAGCTAGTGCCGTGTTCTTTGTGGTCGCGTGTTGGAGCGGCAGTCTGACCTCGAGAGACAGTAAGCGGCTTGACAGGGTGATCAGGAAATGTGTCTCTGTGATGGGGAGAAGTGTGAACTCTGTGGGAGCTCTGCTGGAGAGAAGGATGAGGGCTCTAATGCAGGGCATCCTGGGTAACTCCAGACACCCTCTGCATGACACGATGGCCGCTCAGAGGAGTAATTGAAGCAATGGCTCCTATCACTGCACTGCCAAACATTTCAAGAGATCCTTTGTTCCTTCGGCTTTCAGACTGTACAACAGACCTGGATGATTCTTCTGCTGCTGGGCTATGTTACAATATTTGTGCCAGAAGTTCCTGATTTTAGCATGAATAATTCTAAAAAAAAAAAACCTCCAGGTTGGTAACGGGTGAGGAAACAATCTTGTTTATTTATTATGCTAAAAATAGAGATTTTATTTTGGTTCCCAAAAGGCCCGCTTTGTATGGATAACACTGCATGACAAACGCACAGGAGCTGGATACACTATCACACTGGATAGATAATGTATTTTAGTTATTTGGGTTCTGAATGTGGACAGGGCCTAAAACAACCAAAAGCTCCAGGAGAAACAGAGTCTTGAAGTCAAAAAGTCAAAAAGTGCACATGTAAAGTGTGAAATTATATCAGCACAAACTCCATATTGGCGGTATTAGCAGAGTAGCATGTTTGCTAGATTGCCCTGTTTACTTTGATCATCTGGGACAGAGATGCAGTGGACACTTCGGAGGATTAGATGTGTGATTCTCTGGAGGTTACTAAAACACATTTACTGTATGTCACGGTCAGGACCGAGTCCCAACACCATTCAGCCACAATATTTTATCTATTTATTTGTTTATTTGGATGGGACAGTGTGTATTAATGAACAGCAAGAGCTGTAAATACACCAGAAAGTAGTTTGTGGATAATAGTGATGTAAAGTTCGATTCATTTTACTGACTCGAGTTAAAGTGAATCACTCACCAAAGTGAATCGGGTGTTTTGAGTCATTTGATTCAGTGATTCAGTTGTTCAGAAAAAAACATACATGAACACAAAATAATGCTAAAATGGCAATTTACAATCAAAACATTTATTAAAATTTGATAAATGGTAACAATAACAAATATGTAAACTAATTTGACAAAATATAAACTCTTTAAATTTAACAATTCAACAGTAAAATTGTGAACAAAGCAGCAACAACATTCCAAGCGAGGGGCTGTCACAATACAAGAAATACAATAACACGAACAGAGTTGACATTTTGCTCGTGATGGGCCTGTTATTTCAAAGTGCATCCAAATATCGCTTCTTCTGCGGCTACTATCCATTTTCTATAAAAATATTTAAAACTTTCCGCCAAAAATGTGGTGTTACATAAATGTATTCCGTGTTAAAACCTACATTCCTGGTAAAAAAAAAAAAAAAGGTCATAACAATTATATTATATAAATAATAAATACAAACAACTTTGATATTTTTCACACATTCATTTTTTATTGATGACAATCATTGTAACGCCAATAATGTTCGAGGCGGAACTCCTGTTGTCCGACGAGAGAAACACAGCTGAACAAATAACTTAATAAATAGCCAATTATATTTTTAAATCTACCTCACATAATACATGTAGAGGGTTATTATTTTTTGTCTTTTGGCAAAAGAAACTACTTTTTTCAACCCAGTTAGAGAACGAGAGTTACGAGACGAGTCGGTGTCCTGTCCTGTTGTTTCGACTCGCTTGATGCTGAGTGAGTGAGTGAGTCAGATCAGATGAACGATTCGTTCAGAGCTGAACAACTCGAAGGGGAGCGGGAAGGGGCTGATCCAGAACCACAGTGAGTCGTTCACTGCTCGTACGGCTCGTACTAGCAGGCGCGGGCAGGCAGGAAGGAGGACGTTACGGTGAAGTAGATGGTTGTAAACAATAAGCTTTTGGTTTCTGTGCTCAAACGAGCTACAGTACACACACACACAGTCACACACGTAATATTAGAGTGTCATTCATTGTGGCTAGTAGAAAACGCAGTCTGGGGGTCGCAGTTTAGAAAGTGGTGGGCGGACGAGTTAGTGAACGAGTTAATGGAGGCGGGGAATCACGACTCCCGAGTCAGTAAAGTGAATCTCGAGTTTTGAACGATTCGTTCACGAATCGCAAATCACTAGTCGATAATTTTATGTGAACTGCCAGATCTATTTGTCCATCTCAAAGCAAGAAAAGGGCACCCTAACATCCCTGCTCGAATGCCTTGGTGACGTCAAGGAAATAGTTTTGTTTGGGCAAAGAGATAACCTTTTGAACCTAATGCACATCAATTTGCCACACCAACCTTGGCATCACCATGAATGGGGATTTTAATCTTGATAAGCAGATCAGCACAGTCGTTAAATCTGACTTTTATCACCTTTATCTATTAAACATTTTTAGCAAGGCGTGCACACTAAATTTATTCATGTCTAGACTACTGTAAGGCACTTTACACTGGAAGGTCACAAAATGCACTTTCATGCTGACAGTTAGTCCAGAACTACAGCAGAAGATTTGGACAGAAGGAGCTGGCACCATGTTCTTGATGACCTTTTTCTAATCTATGGCTGTATTTGTAGCAAACATTAGAATCAGAACCAGAATCCTTTTTATTACCATGTAGGAAACAGGAAGTCACAAACTAGGAAATAGCTTTAGCTCTCGGTGCAAACAAGTTAAAGTAGAATAAAAACAAGAAGGCATGCATAAATAAAAATCTACACAATTTCTTCTGTTTACTATATACAAGTGCACACAATAGACTGTTAAGAGTGCAGTATAGTGCAGTAAAGTGACAGTAGCATAATGTGACGGTTATAAGGGCAGAGGTCAGACTCATGAAGTGTTCATGAGTCCAACAGCAGAGGGGAAGAAACTGTTCTTATGGCGGGCGGTTCTGGTCCTGATGGACCGTATTCTCCTTCCTGCGGGGAGTTGTTGGAATAGTCCATGTGCGGGGTGAGAGGGGACAGCAGTGATACGACCAGCCCGCCCGCGGGCTCGGGCGACGTACAGGTCCTACAGTGATGGGAGGCTGCGGCCGATCACCTCCTCTGCAGAGCGTACAATGCTCTGTAGTCTCTGCTTGTCCCTGACTGTGGCTCCAGCAAACCACACGGTGATGGAGGAGATGAGGATGGACTCGATAATGGCCCTGTAGAACTGCACCAACATCTGTGCAGGCAGCTTGGCTTTCCTGAGCTGCCGCTGGAAATACATCCTCTGCTGGGCCTGTTTGATGAAGGAGGTGATGGTCGGGTCCCACTTGAGGTCCTGGGTGATGGTGGTACCCAGGAAACGAAAGGACTCCACAGAGGTGATGGGGGAGTCCAACAGGGAGGGCATGGGCGGGGGAACTGTGCTCTTCCTGAAGTCCACAATCATCTCCACTGGTGTTCAGCTCCAGGTTGTTACCACTGCACCAGGACACCAGCCGGTCCACCTCCCTCCTGTAGGCGGACTCATCGTTGTTGAAGATGAGTCCAATGAGGGTGGTGTCATCCGCGAACTTGATGATGGTGGTGACGTGACTTCCTGTATTCGGTGAGCGTGTTTCTTGACTGCTATCACTCTGCTCTCTGTTTGCACTAACAAACACATTACAAATCCACGTATTGCACACCAAGCTAACTGTGTAAGCACTCCGAGTCAGCTGTACTGCAGCTGAGGTTTAGGTAGCGGTTGTTTGTCTGGTCTCGGAGTCTGTTGTGCGGGCCCGGATCCGTACTAGCTTAGCCTAGCCTAGCTTAGCCTAGCCTAGCCGCTAACTCGCTACTATGGCGGCTGCTGTCTCTCCCTCAATCCTTTAC